CACCCCCTCCTGCCACAGGATCGACTCAGAGGTTAAAACTTTGTCCGATGTTTAGTTTGATTTCCTTCACTTACATCCCCAGCGCTTGTACACAACGAAGGAATTTACTTATTTAATTTGCTTTCTCTAATGCACACAAACTAAGTAGTGCGAGACCCAGAGCGAGAAATTCCTGTCCTTCGTTAAATTGAGTGTCTAAGTCAAAACGATCAAGGATTACTTCAAGTTTATTTACTTCGCTCTGATTGGTCTAAAAAAACTCGCCTCACTTGCGCCACCCTCTCGACCAATCAGGTAGCGAGCTAAACAAACTCGCACCGGACTTAACTATATACGTTTTCCCGCGCTTTTCCCAGTTTGTTCGTTTTTTTATTTTACTTATGGTTACCTTGAAAATAATCTAGGCTGTTGAGATTAATTTTCTTTGGGTCTTACGCTACTACACTTCTACACTACTTTCTACATTTTCAGCTGATTGTAATTATCTTAATAAGTATACTTTTAATGGTTATTCTTGACATAGGAAGCTGTTTGAATCGACAATACGTTTTTCCACAAGCTTACTTTTCATCTTTTCATCTAAACCTCAGTTCCTTTCTCCGTTGATTCCGTTAACTTCGTAGTTTCTTCGCTCTCGTCTGAGCCCGCAGTGACACGTCTGACCAGCGCCCATGCAGCAGCCGCGTGAAGAATATTCGAGATGGCGGTCAGACCGAGGAATATGAACGGTATGGTGACATGTCTTCCTTTTTGAGGATACATATCTCCGAAACCGACGGTCGTGAATGTGATGACGTAGAAGTAGATGGATCCCCCATAACTCCACCCTTCCTCTGTTACCATTGAAGCACCCGCTCCCCCAAGGACCAATATTAACAAGTATAGACAACCAAACACGAAACATTTTTCGTTCAGGTGACACGGAGGCCCATTTCTTTTCAGACAGCTTCTCTCAATTGCGGTGATCAGCGCTCTTTCTCCGCGTAGCATCTGCTGGCCAATAAATCGCAGGAGCAAGATGGTTATAGGGATGCCAAATACGGCGTACAACCCACACACGACCTTGCCAATGACCGTGACTGGGTAAAAGTCGCCATAACCTGAGTGAAGTAAACACGGCGTTAAAAGGGGTTTTCTTAATTGAGTGTCGCAAGTAATACAGGGTTCACTGAATTTGTATTTACTTCGACCTGTGATTGGTCCAAAACACCCGCGCCATCTTCTCAACCAATCAGAAGCTAGATTAAAACCAACCGTTAACGTGTCACGCTGCTGACATTTTTGCGAATTACTTCGCAGCATTCAGTGGCAGAGCCTCACAATAGAGCAGTGAAGCCGTGACTTTAAGAGTGCATAATAACCGCTGATTATGCAGGTTCACTTGCGTTTTCCCGCGCTTCAGGCAGATGTGCTTTTTAAACTTTGATTTCTGATTAGCTCCTTGTAATAGAATATTTGTTCCGATTGACTGTTGTTATTTCTTTGGTTGTGATTACAAGACACTGTGAAAATGCGCTTCAAAGGGGAAAGTTCCAGTTATTTTAATGCATTCGTTTGTTTCAAGAGAAAATTAGAAGACCGAGAAAGAGGATCCACTGAAGCAGCAGGTGGATTAATTCACTTCCACAAAATTTACTCCAAGACATGATCTCGCAAACGAAAGGTTTGTTCTTCGAGAGTTCTTCGCGAAGGTTAACCTTGACATGATCTATGTTCTGAATTAAAGTACGCATTAATAGATTTTCTCATGATCAAGGCAGAATTTCTCTTTACAATGTCAAAACAAAATCAAGCAGACAAGTGAAGAGAATAAAGAAATATATATATGTAAATTAGAGGATTATTAGTTAAACCAATACAACGATCTCCAAACTCCCACCATAAGAATTGTATGGCAGATAGTTAGGAGAATTACTAATTAGATCTTGAGAGTGAAAGGGTTGATTGTTTTAAATCCAGCTGACTGCTGTGTCCATTCTCAGAGTTGATGACACTTTTATAAAAACGTGGACGAACTTAAAAGGTAAATGGCTTTACGTTCCCATAAATAGTGCCAGTTATTTCGATATTTTTTTTCCCAAACAGTGATAGTCCTGAAATAAATTTTTATGTTGCTTCAACTGATCTTAAGTCCTAATTTTCACTTTCATTGTTGCAAGATATGCAAATATTCAATGGTTACTTCGGTCTGTTTATGAAAATGAAAGAAAACTACTTGAAAGGAAATGAAAACAGTCAGAACTTTGAAATTGCGACTGAATGACTACGTGTTTCTTCCATGTAAAGTTTTTGAAAGCATGTTTCGTGATGCTTTGCAAAGAAAACATAAAGTTATCAACAGCTTGATCTGATACCTTTTCAATCATAATGCATGGAGCAATCTTTCTTTATTATTGTTATGCCGTGAAAGATTCATGTCTAATTAAATAAAAACAAACCCAGCCGACGCCTTAGTTCCCTTGTTATTTCTGAGTCATGATTTTTGCATTAATTACATCAATTTTTTTTCCTTACCAATAGTCGTGAGGAGAACGACCACGAACCAAAATGAGTCTATGTAATTCCATCGGCGTTCATCTTGATAATCCTCGTGCGAGTTCGCCACCTCACGAATTTTCTTCGCGAGGGTCTCAAACTCAGCTTCGGTCATGTTGTGTTTCTCCATCGTTTCAGCTTTCAAGCCAGTCATGTTCTGTCGTTCTCTTCGCTCCTGAGAATTATGCACCACATTTCCTTCTGTTGCAGCAAAGACAAAGATTCCAAGGACAACATAGGCGCACCACAGGAAAAACAAAATTAAAAAGATTGCACCTTTTCCAAGCGCTGCCATTTCTTATAGTCTAGTCGTGAAGTGCAGCTTTGAAAGGTTTTGTGTTACAGCTGTTTTCGTTATCACTTAAAAGAAAATATTCCAGCCCACGTCACTTTGTTGCGATAGGCTAGGGAGATGTTAATGAATGCGAATAATTTTATAACCGTTTTAATCGAAACACAATGATATTACATAAAGAAAAAAGCTGGTAGCTGTCAAATTTAAAAGGCGGTGGAAAAATAAAAAACAACACGATGTTGTCAATCATGATTTGCAAACGCAAATTTATATAACTTAGAGCACGTAAATCGAATCAGACCTCAGTGATCTGGAACAGTCGAGAAAAAGTTGGAACTCAATCCTTTATGACCTCAAATTTTAGTCATTTATCAATAACTTTGAATGTCACGACAAGGTTTCGTCGTTTTAGAGTTGGAGCTAAAATGTTCTGTTTTTCACCTAGATGTCGCGAGAAATGATCTAAATACAGGAAACTTTTCGCTCATATCTACGTTTTATCGCAGAGCATCGGGTTAGCTTTTAATTAACCATTAGCTTAAATCATGTCTGAGTTCTCCCTTCCAGATCTTTGACAGTCTTAATAAGAGACGCGCGGAAAAACTGCTGTCGTATTTTAGAGTCATCACACAAGAGAGACTCCTTTGACATTTTCTGTCTAATAAATATCAAGAAAACCTGGCTTTTCGAAGAAAGAAAGAAGATGAAACAAAAAAGGTTGTAAGGTTTAATTTCCAATTTATTTTCAAGGCCAAGCATTTCCCTGAGGTAGTGCGCTGGGATCGGTGCGCAATACATCTTTCGCGGACAAAACAAACAACCACATCCGTTTCATGTTAAATCAAGTTTGATCCCAGCGAGAGGTCTGCAACCCAGACCTCTAGGAAACCTCTCCCCGACTCGTTTCAAATATTCCCGCGGGCGGAGAAACGAGCGTGTTGCAGCGCTGATAATCTGAATGAGAGCCTACTCGCAAGTGAGGCCACTCCCAGAGCAAGCGCGCACTTAACGAAAGCGAAACGCATATTAATTTTAGCTCCAATTTGACTGAACGTTAAGTGTAAACAAGGCGCGTATTGCAAAGTTTTTACCGAAATCTAGAATTCAAGGAATGCTCATGAGAGATCTTTCGTCATTTACTGTGCCCCGATGGGGACGCCCTTAGAGTTTCCCTGCAATATTTGGCTGATTTTCCTGTTCACCTAACCAGCAAATCTTTTTTAGTTTGGTCTCTACTGACTGTCTTCAGACCGTTTTCGATTTGGGAAGTGACAGCGCCCTCTCATCACCTGTGACTCGCCCCTCGCGCTCACCTCGCGTTATTCTTGCGTTTACCTTGGGATGTTCTCGCGCTTTTCACTTAATCCTCTCGCGCTCTCTTCGTGTTCTTCTCGCTTTTTCCTGCATTGGCCTCGCCCTTGCCCATGCTCGCCTAATGAACCATGAAGAGTTGTCACCTGTCCTACAGGCTAGCAAAAAGAATCGTTTGATGAGTATACCGCTGAAATGCTTCACTTAACGGTCGTGTTGTGAACATCAATCCGTTTTTATTCCCTTTGCCACGCGGAAAACATAACCTCTCAAATATTGACTACTAGTCAGTTGGATTTGAACCTTTTTTAAAGTTGATTTAACATGTCAAAAGGTACTAACATTTCTACTTAAGTATGTACAATCTGTATCACAAATCTATTCAAGACACTGAACTAAGCTTATTCAAAATCTCTTCGCAGTCGTTCTTAAGCTCTTCAGCAATTGCCAACAGTTGTGCTTTCAGAGAGTCATCAAGTGGAATGTTGTCAACAATTTTCCAAGAGCCCTGTCCGAACTTAACTGGAAGAGAAAAGAAGATTTCCTGAGGGAGGTCATACCAGCCTTCAGAGGACACCCCGAGAGAGTAAATCTCTGACGATGTCCCTTGCCACAGATCACGAAGCTGAGTTAACACAGCGAAGCTCCCTGGCAAGGGAGGGGTCCCTTTTGGGCTTTTGGCAGTATTCATGGGCTTTTTTAAGGTTTCTAAAAACTCTCCTGCCAGCCATTTGTCATCATGGACCATTTCTGGTACGTGTCGGGTGAATCCAGGAATATGTGGTCCCCAGATGGCACCATCAAAGCCATGGACCCTGGCATTTCTAGGGTCTGCTGTAGTAAGAACACCAATATTACCCCAAAGAATGACATCTTTTATTCCTGCGGTGTTGACATTCAGTTTTTTGGCCAAGAGCCCTTTAGACCTATTTTCCACGAGACGAGCCAGGGCACAGATATTTTTCTTAGGTATTGAGGGAGCAAATTTACTGGCGACAAAAGCGTTGACACTTGCCGGCCCCCCTCCGATAAGCACCTTCACGTCTTTCTTAGCATATTGGTCAAGGGCCTCTCCATGGGCCTTAAAAATTTTAGCATTAGCGAGAAGTTGCTCCTTTTTATCAACTCCTTCTTCAAGGGGAATGCCATCGAGCAGAACAGCCACACTGGCATCTTTGAAAGCGATCGCTGGATCCGATGTCTGTACTGCATCTCTGAGCAAAGGCCATGCACAATCTTGGATCTCCATTGCTGTACCTTTAAGAACTTCCTGAGAGTCAGCCTTGTCGAGCAGATAAATACTCAATTCTTGGTCGATCCCAAACACTTCTCCTTGAGCTAAATAACTCAAAACACCATAAGCAAACGTATTAGATGCACCAGACACGCAAATTCGTAACGGATTAATGGCTGCCTTTCTCTGTTCCTCTTCGGCATCAATTTCGATCTTTGTTTGAAGGTTTTCGTGAGCGATATTTAACAGTTCATCACTCATTTTAACCGAAGTGATGCCATAATAACCTCTGGCCATTTCTAAGAAGTCATCGCATCCGCCAAGAAGAATACCTGCTCCACCTCGATCGACAAGCTCCCTCCAAACAAGAGGAGAACTAGAATGTTTCCATCCTTTTTCTTCGCAGGTTTCTTTTAGCCAACCTTCCCAATCCTCTGGCTGCTTGACGATCTTGTGGACTTTAAAATCTGGTAAGTTCAACGAAAGTTCATCGGCAAGAAGCTCTGCTTTAGAATAAAAGGGGCAATTTGCCTTTCCAGCAATAACATACTTCGCCATTTTGTATTCCAACCTGAGCGGTTTATTGTAGTTGTCAAGGCAATGGTTCTCTTGTTAGAATTGCGGGCTCGTATATATTCTTAAGTACATGCGCTCTGCGTGCACGTGGTAAAAATTTGCAACATGGCGAATGAAAACAACGAAGAGAGTAACGCGAAAGAAATGGCAACTTTAGCTCTTGATTCGAACAAACAGAAAGAATTCGAGGATAGAGTAAAAAGAATAAGTGCGACGGTAAGAAGGAGATTGTTTTATTTTGCAGTTAAGAGAATGTTGTCGCCTGTTTCTCTAGTTTTGTTTCCTTACAACTCTTTGAACTGTTTGCTCGACGAAAAGATTTCATGTGTCCCGTGCGTTTGTTCAGAAATTTTTGATGTCTTCTAGCTTCTGTGATGTAGCACATTAGAGACCCCCGGCAACACGGATTCTATCAGTTTTTTAAGATGTGCCTCTGTCCTTCCATAGATCATACGAAAGAACCAATCAAACTGTGTGCATAATGTGTTTGTAGAGAAGTTGGAAAATTTTTGGGAAGTTTCTGCAGTCAGTGGTTTTGAATTTGATAGGACTGGAGCCAAACATTTGTGGTTTTTATTAAGCTAAAACTATTCAGTGAACAATTGCTTGCATCCTGGTGAAGCTAACCTAAAGCTTTTGTGTGTAATTAGGAAATGGCGAAAAATTTTGGAATGTGTATGATCTATCTCAAGCCGTTTTCTTTAAAAAAAACTTAATTAGTGATCATAGCAATAATTCTGAAATATGACGAGGATAGTACATGGTGATGAGAAGATATGAATTTTATGTTCAAGTGGCATGATTAATAGCTCACAAATGAGCCATTATTCATGCCACAAGAATTTAAAATTCACATCTTTGAGCTAACTCATATTTGTTACATGGACAATTAATGTACATGGAAGAGATTGAAAACTTGTGCCCAAATTACAAAAGGTTTACATGTAGGACCATCAGTTACACTGAAATACATGTGAAATGGTGTTAAGAGCTTAATGAAAATTCAATTACTAACTCTTAATTTGAATCATAAGATAATTTTACATTCACTCCTACTAAAAACCTTTGAAGGCTGTTTAGCACAAGCAGAATAAAAACTTACCTTTGACTTGTTATAACTTTCAGAAATTCCTTGAAAATCTTAAGATCAAACAGGTTTTCTTTTTGTGTTTTTGTTGTCTTGTTGTTAGGAAAATACATATACATCTTCACTTACCACAAGAAATCTTATGACCATTTAATATTCCAAATAACAAACAAACCCCAAGTTCATTCAGTGAAGTTTGAAAAGGCAGGAATTGACTGATTGTGTTCATATTGATTCTATGAGTGGTCTAGTTCTCACTAAAACACTCATGTCCACATAATAAAAGTATAAATTTCGGCACACATGTAATGAAGTGATAACTGAGGTCCATACTTAAGTTGCAGACCAAGTTTTTTCTGCTTAGAGCAGAAGCATGTGGACAATACCACCTAACAGAAAAAACAAGGTTCTTTAAAGTATAATATGAACTGAGAAAATGAGGTCAATGATATATTTGTTATATCTTTGGGTTCAAAAAGAAGCGGAAGATTTCAATTCAAACAAACTTTTGAATTTAGTGGGCTGCCCACTGGAATATGGCCTTCTAAATTGACCAATCAAAGTACTTGTACTAAATGATAATTTATCTTATTTTAGGCTAACAACTTGACACCTGGTGTTATCTATCTCGGTCACATTCCACATGGCTTCTATGAAGGTCAAATACGAAAGTTTTTCTCACAGTTTGGCACGGTGAATAAAGTCAGATTATCAAGAAGTAAGAAGGTAGGAGGCTGAGATTCCTAAGAAGAAACCTGCAAACAGAATTTCTCCAAAATGTTTGTTATACTGTTGTTAAGCCTTAGACGCCTTAGAGCCACTAGCTTCTAATTTCTCTTTACAAAGTCACCCCCAAATCACCCAATAAATAAAGGAAATGGTCACCAACTAGAGAATTTTGGATTGTTGAACAAATTCTCATTATCAGCACTGTAGGAAATGTATTGGGACTACTGATATTAGGGTGTAAAGAGTTAAATAGAATGATATTCCAGAGAAAGGTAATCTTGAAAGCAGTTGTTATTGAGGACAGTAACAGATGTTGAAACAAGACAAGGAGAAGTTATTTTGCAAATTTATTAGTTTTTCAATAGATTGTCATGCTATGTCTGCAGGCAGTTGAAATTCATAGATGAATTATAAACTATAGGGTGCTTAACCCATGAAAACTCTCTGTAGCTGGTAAGCTTGTCTGCTCTCAGAACCAGTTTACCAAATAACATATTGGAATTGTAACAGGGATGCTATCAGGTCTGGGAGTTTAAGGGTTAACCCCTAAACCTCTAAGAGTGACTAGCATATAATTTCTCATTATAATATCACATCTAAATCAAACATTAAGCCCAAGAGAATAAATGAAATGGTCACCAACTAAAAAAAGTTCTTGATTGTTGAATACATTCTCCCTGCCAGCACCTAAGGGTATGTATAGAGAACAGTATGGAGAATATGCATACTCATGTTAGGGTGAAAATCAGAGTTACAAATTTTGACAAGCCAATATTTTAGCATTAGCCCATTACTGAAGCACAAAGGACTCAAAGATAAGATAAGGTTGCGCTCTAAGAAAAATTGAAGGGAGCCCAGGGCTCTGAAACTGTGAAATCAAGGGTGCTTGCTTTTTATGGAAAAACTAAATTCCTAAGTCACCCATGAGCAAAAGTTAGATGCTAGGGGCCACTGGGTACTGCTAGACCACAGCCATGATAAGATTAAAGAATTTATTTGTTCCCTTGCTTTATTAATTTTGTTTTGTTTTATTTTTTTGTCACTATATAGACTGCAAGGTCAAAAGGATATGCCTTTGTAGAGTTTTCCTGTGACGAAGTAGCCAAGATTGCAGCTGAAACTATGGACAACTACATGATGTTTGGGAGATTACTAAAATGTACGTACCGTAGGATAATATGTCACTAAAAGAGAAACCACATTGATTTGAAGCAAAGATTTATCAAATTTTATCACACAATCAAATAATGGTATTAAGTTTCTAAAGATACTTTAGTGCGATGTAGGTGGGAATTATAAAAAGATGATTTGATTTTTTCAACTGAGTGGATAATGTAAATTGGCCACCATAAGTAGTTGCTACGTTATGAGACAAAGTATCATTATTTGTTATTGGTGAACAGCTCAAAGCTGAAGGCTGTGGTAAAAATATGATCTGCACCACACTGATATGGTGTTTTGTGATGACTGCATTTAATAATTGTTTTATAATTTGATTGTCAAGTTTATTTACCGTAGTTATTTTCAGGTATCTGTTGATACAACTAAGTATTTCTTGAGTAGCGTACAGTTTGCAAGGAAAAGGTAGTGAGAAGTTATTACACATGAGCTTACTATTATTTGTCAGCAGCAACTGGCAGGACATGTTACACACATTGGCCCAATGGTCAGTGCGCAGGACTCCATGACCAAGAGGTCCAGCAGGGGCTTAGCCAAATTTTTCAAAAGGGATGGGGGAGGGGGGAGGGTGTTGCACTGCAACAAACAGAGGGTACTCACCAGTTTTCACCCCCTGAATATTGCATACTTGCTTGAAAAAAAGGGGGGGGTCCAAGCCGGCAGCCGCCAGAGTTCCAACTGCTACTTGATAACATGTTGCTAGTTACTCTGATTAAAATAGTTACCTAAAGGCCCTTAACCCCCTAACTCCCAGAAGTGATCAACAAGTAACTTCTCCCTACAATATCCATGCAGTATCCAGCAAACAAGTAATGAGAACACTCAAATGTGTCAGGTAGAAGTTTTTTTCTTGATCTAACACCAAATTCTCATAACTAATTTACAAGGAACTATGTAGCAGCTAAAGGGGAGAATTAACAATCAGATCTTGGGAGTTAAAGGGTTAATTAACTTTTCACAGTCACATACTATGGTAGAGTCTGATGCCTACTTCAAAACATTTTCAAATCCCTGCAGAGGAGTTCATTGTATCTCAGTTGGTAGATTATTCAACTTTCCAAGAGCAACTGAACAGCATCCAAATCTTAATTGGAGGTTAGACTTTCCTTTTCCTGATACCCAAAACAAAAGATCAACCTTTTCCCTTTGCTTGCTTTTGTGTTTACAGGCAAAGTAGTTTCAAAGGAAAAGGTTCATCCAAGGCTGTGGAAAGGATCAGAGAGGAAGTTTTATTCTATACCGCGGCAGCAAGAAGAAATAACAAAGCACAATAAGGTGTGCAGTAGCTTAAGTGAAGAAGCAAACAGAACAATTATTTTCTTCTAGAGAAGCTGCAGTTGTAAATGACTCATGATGAACACATGCATGTATTGAAAATACCTGTTTGCTCCTTGGAATAATGGTTATAAGAAATTTTTTTTTTCTGAAGTATTTCAGCTGGCCTGAATCTAAAATCCTTGATTTATGCAGTTATGTGTGTAACTGGCCCACAGCGCACTTTTTGTACTGTGTATCAAGCACTTGTGGTAGTGTGTGGGAATTGAAGATCCTTTCTAATCAATCAGGTGGTGGTGCTTGATGAGGAACTAATAATGTTTTACCCTAAAATTTTTCATAATATGTATCAAGTACTTGAAGTAGTGTGTAGGAATTGAAGATCCTTACAAATTTTATTAGCTGGTATTGTTTGACAAGGTACTAAAATTTCATCAATATACTTATTTTCTCTACCAAATAGGTGATGGTCTTATGTAAGATGTCTTTTTGATTTGCATTTACAGGAAAAAAGTAAAAAGGAACATGAAAAGCAAGTGGAAAACATTTTAAAAAAAGAAAAAAGAAAGAGAAAGAAGATCAAGGATCTTGGTATTGACTATGACTTTCCTGGATATGTAAGTATGCAAGTTTAATTATTAACTAGAGAAATAATTAATCACATGTCAAAAGTGCTGCTAGTGTTAACAAGATGGTATTGATTGATTTCACCTTCCATTGTGGTTGGCATTGAAATTAAACAGTTTATTAGCAATAACGGATTAAAAGGAAAAAACTAACAGTGAAATAATTACATTCAATCCTCAAACTTCCCATTTGTGGCATGGCAAAAATCTAATCAGTGGAGGGGGGGGGTCCAAAAACTGAATTGATACAGTCAAACCTTGATTATTCGGACTTGTTGGGACTAGATGAAATAGTTCGGATAATCGAGTGTCTGGATAATTAAGAATATGAATATTAATGAGGAACAAAAACTGATTAAAATTAAAAAATAACATTTAAGCGTAACAAAACATTTACAAATCAAGGACATAATGATCTTGAATAACCATTTGTGATGCTGTGTAGAGTGTGAAACCTCACACAGCAACAAAGCAACTCTAAGCCAATCAGACCTCATTCTAATGTTCTTCGTTAGTTACAACGCATTACAAGGCACTGCTTTTGCTTTTTGAAAGCAAAACAAACCCAACTTTCTTCACTTTTCAACGCTCTAGTTTTAAAGAATATGGCTACGGGTCTTGATCATGACTAATAAATATTCAGGACAAAACTGGGATCAGAGAAAAAGTTCGGATAATTGAGAAATCCGCATAATCAAGGTCCGGATAATCGAGGTTCAACTATACCAATCAGTTTTGAACAGTTGTAGAAAACTTTTGCTTCCTTGCCAACCAATTAGATACAAAACAAAAGACAGTCCAGACTTTACAGTTTGAACCCAGGAGAAATCATTTAGACTGATTGTCTAGGGGGCTGTGAGAGAATTTCTGAATTTCTTGTTTATGGCGCTTTTGCCTGATGTTTCAACAACCTTAGCAGAACTCTAACTTTTAAACATGAACCTCAGAACCCTGATTCTGATGATAATTTCAGCACAGGTTTTCAAAATATTTATCTTTGTTCTGGTTGCTTATTGGGGATGTGATTTCGTTGGCTTTGATTTTAAGATACTCATGCAGAGAAGACTGGTAGACAAATACCTTCCAAGCAATAGGAGTTGAACAATCTCAGAGCAGTTGCAATGAAGTGCTTTCACAGCTGTGCAATTCTCTCGCCAAACCTGTTACTCATGCCAATATTAAAGACATTGCGATTCGAAGTACTAGGGTAAATAATGTTGTTTTTTTTTGTTTTTGTTTTCCTCAAAGGCTTCAGAAGTAAAGACAAAACTACCAAAGCATACGAAATTCAGTGACAAGTAAAGACCAATTGAGAAGTCTGTCTTTTGTTGTGGAACTCCAGCAGAACAGAGATGGCTAGGACTTCATCTTTTACACCCTAATTTCATTATTCGTATTTCCACACTTTTCTCTTTACATTTTCTATGGTAATACAGAGAGAATTTGTTTGACAAACAGGAGCTTTTTAAATTGGTGATCATTTCCGTTATTCTTATGACTGTTACATTTGATTCAAGGAATGTAATGTAAGGTAAATGTAGAAGTCAGTCACTTTTCAGGATCAAAGGGATAGTAAATGTGTATTCACGGGAAACTAAGCACTTAATAATTCTTAAAAATGCTGAGGATGTCCCATCCCTGCTGTTACCAAGGAATTTGGGAAATTTTGATTATCTTGTACCCAAGTTAAAAATGCTTTCATGGAGTTTCACTTTTATTTCTTTTTTAACGCACGTGGGTTTTGTTTCTTTTCTTTTTCTTCATTTTTTTATGTTTGATTAAGTAACCTCGTATCTCATTCCATTGGTAAGGGGTTCAAGCAAATGGAAATTTGGTGTAAATAAATAAATATTATGTAGCGAAATGCTACACTTGCAAGATTTATCTTTGGTGAGTAGCTGGTTTCCTTAAAGTTGAGCAGATTTCTCCGATAGTCTTGAGAAATCTACAAGTTTCCACAACATTTACATGGAATTCGAGAATTCCCTCTTTTTTTTCCAGACAGTTTTTCGTTATCTAGGTTTCCTATACTTGCACTGAATCCAAATACGATACATTTTCAGCTGCCGGCCGCGATTCACTTGAAGTCGGCGGTCAACGTAGTTCTGTTCTTCAACAAGGCCGGCTTCTTGGAACATTTGGGAAAGTTCGTCTGAAATATTAAAAGGAGGAGTTAGAATAACTAATATCAGGTGACAAAAAGTAAAGCGAGGGGTCTGGAAACAAATTAAAATAGAATGAATTAATTTTTGTGTATAAAATTTAAAACTTCTTAGTTTACTTTTACAAAACCATTATTTTCATTTCTGTGACAAAAAGGAAATGTAGACAGAGGATTTTACTCAACCAAGACAGGAACCAAACAAAATCATTCTGTAGTAACCATAAAATTATCAGAGAGAAGGAAGTCATATTTTAGCATAAAATATTATTTTTACTGGCGCTGCACACAGCTAGAATACGGCAAAGTACGGACAGATTTTGTCCTTCCCAATTTTCTGGACGTTGCAAATTGAATTTACACAGTTCCTAGACGTCGAAATTAAATATTCAAACAAGACAGACACTCCTCACACTTCACGCAGGCAACTAGACAAGTGTTCTATGCTCTGCAAATTGCTCGTAGGTTGGCTAAGAAAGTACGAGCAAAATTTCTTTTCGCGTGCAATAGAAACCTTAATCGTTTACAAACATCTTTCATTTTCCGTACAACTGAATGATTATCATTAATTTTTGTTAGAACTACGAGCTAAGTAGTCTGAACTATTGCGATAATATCGGACGAGGTCAGCTAATTTTAGTTAAGCTTTTTAAAGAAGCAGACAGTCGCACGGACCGAGACAAAGAAATATGTTCGATCTCCCTTTGTAGAATTTAAATTCTTTAGGCACTGTCACTCAAGGTCAATTAGCCAAATGGAATTGACTTCGGCCGTAGTTGTTTAAAATGGATGTAAATCTAAAATTTTTAAAAATGTAGATTGCCTAGGCGGCGTGGCAGAGGTGCAGGGAGGGGGGAGGGACAGCGATGTTGGCTCCTCCATTCCCCCCTCCCCCAATTTTCTATGTTCAACATTGCTCGAACAGCCTAAGCATTGCTTGAGCAGCGGAAAGTTTAAAAGATGAGAGCTTATTGCTAACCAAACCAAATTTCCTAAAATGGCGTTGGCATAAGCTGGCAAACCTCTTTGAAATGCGAAAAAACTACCTGTTGTAGTCGTGGTTAAATTGTAACAGTGTATAACCAGGCAGTTGTTCAAAACACAACACATTATCTCGCGAAGCGTGATTCTGAAGAGATGATTTGTGGAAAGACCACAAAGTTGGATATCATGTAGAACCGATTCTTCACTCAGCAAGGCCGGCAAGGTTACAGCCCCTTCCCCCTTTTCCTCCATTTTTCCGCCGCCCCATGAACATTTTCAAGTTACACTTTTTAAACTGTATTTCAGTTCACCCTTAACAAATTCACACAAGGAAGGAAGGCTGCATATTCGAACTGTTTCAAACATCCAACAAAAATCATTTACGCACGCGAGAAACTGCATGAGTGGACAAAGGAATTGATACAAAAATATCGCTTTTCAATTTTGATTCTTTTTATCTAATTAGACCTGTAAATGTATCAACATTCTCTAAATACTAACGATTGATTACTGAATTAATGGTTTCCGGAATTTAATTTCCCCAGACTTATGCAACATAATTGATTTCTTGTATCATTTTGGATCATGTAAATGATATTGTTCATCTTTCAACTTAAAAAAAATTGCTTTGACTATCACTCAATCTTAAGGCTGAAGTCGAAGTTACTTTGGTCACTGTAAAATGATTAATACGGTGAGGAGCGTTAGTCACTCCCGAAAGTGAAAGGGTTTCTTATTACAGTACAAGTTTTTGAAATCTTGCGTCGCCTGAATTGAAATGAATTCATCTCAACACGAGGAAATGATCAGCGTAATGACTAGGGTAGCGCATTCAAAAATCAAAGTAAATTCCTACGAGGTACAAATAACCAAAATTATGTAAAGGGGTAAGTTTCTAAAGAAACTGTGGTGCTGCGTCGGTGGGGAATTGTAACAAGATAATTTGGTTCTATCAACTGAGTTGACGATGTAAATTAGCCACCATAAACAATTTCAAAACTAACGTTTCGTGCGTTAGCCCTTTGTCAAAATTATATACCGAGCGAATTCAAATTAAGCGGAAAACTAAAATCTTCAAAATACTATTCATAGTTTCCCAGTGTTTGGTTACGATGACAATGAGATCAAAGTTGATTTTTCTAGTAAGTGTTGCATTTAGATAACAGACCCTTAAATCTGCGTTTTAAAACTGTTGGCCGTGCTCTTTATTTGTTCTATTTTGTAAAGTTGCTTCTCTGTATTGGATCGAGTTCCCTCCAAAATGCGTCTCTGGTTTTGGGGTACACTTTTATACTCTTTCTTCTACTTTCACGGTTTTGAGTTTCTCTGAAAAATTGAGTCCTTGAACGCTGTTGTAAAATTCCGCAAACTACACTTTGTATATTCCGCCCAGACTGTGTCATCGCATTCGGCTATTGTCAACTGAATTATAACAGGGAAACTCACTAAAAATAATCCAGCTTGTGTCCAAATTTGGTACCTTCTGAGTTTTAGTCCGTTTGTATCGACCACACTAGAGAACAGTTATTACAGTTATGTCTTCAACTCTCTTCTGATTAGTGCGACATAGCGGCCACCCACAATCTACAAGTCTGCTCGACTGTTTTTTGTTGATGAAACTCAGAGTTAGGTTTTAATCCCACTTCAGGAAGTTTCAGTGAACTGCAAATGTTTTTACACGTAGCAAGCACCTTTTAGTCCAAAGAACTGAGAGGTTGGACAAACACACTCTACTTCAAGGTTACACGGAATTCAATCACCCCGAGTAGCATGAAAATTTTGTAATAGTTTTTATATTTTGCGGAAACAAATCTTTGCAGGGCAAGATGACTCACACTTTCGCAGAAAAATAACATTTGCGGTTTTCTCAGAGTTCAAACAGCAGAACAATACCAAGGAAGGTAATGCAATACTTCCAACATTTCTCACTTATCGAGATGTACTGAGAAATAGCTTTTACATGATTCGTATAAGAACACTAAACAAGAAAGCGGATCTATTTTTGTTTGACTGAGAGAATACACATTTAAAGCGTTTTATGTTGTAGGATTTTGATCTTCAATAATTTATTTTTGCAGATCAAGGAAAATCTTCAAGATCCGAAAATATTAAAACCCGGAAAATATTAATGCCACACAAGTACAGTCAATGTTTTTCGAGTCAATCAAGTTTGAAACACACAGATTAGCACCGCGAAGAAAAATTACCTCAGTGACTTGAGATAAGTGAGGACGGCTGGATATTGAATGAAAAACGTGCCCCGATTCAGGCCTCAATAGAGAAAAGAAAGGAAAGTTAATCGAACAACGAAGATGCACACTGCAAAATGGCAAGCACGCCAAACATACCTCACGCTGTGAAAGGCCGAGTGCGTCCCAAGGTGAAACCACAACAACGCATTTTAAAGCACCTTTGAGCTTTTTTCTCTATTGTAACAATGTACTGTTGCCATACTTGTTTCCAGGCAAGGATAATCGCTCAGCATGCACAGCTAGGTTTAGTTTTAACTACTTTTTTTTCCTTGTGAAAACAGTTCGGTGAAGGGATTTAAAGTGTGGGTCAAAGTTTTAAAATCATTGACTTCATTGTTCAACTTCCTGAAACTCTCACATGACTATTAAGTCAATACAACAACAGTTTTCACTTCAACGCTGGCATGAAAAGTGAATTCTTGTGGCTTTAACTAAATATAAACGAGGTTTGTATTGATAGGCGACGCCGAAGAACCATATACTACAAAAAAAGTTTTGTTTGCAACCAGACAATAAACAATTACTGCCAAGCGACTCGCTAAACATGTGAGCTTCTTATGTTCACAAACATGTAGAATCAATAGACGCGCTCGACTAAACGCGGTGGCTTTTTTCAGTCAGTGTTCCCGCTGTCAAATCACCTGGCATTAAAAAGTGCTCTCGGTATCTGAAGCCAAATCATTTTTGATAAAAAACGCGTTAAGAAACAGAAATGTCGTCATTAACCTAAAATTTTGCTTTGACTGCTTTTTAAATCACGTGAATTTTAAATGTTTTCGGTTTCACAGTTCATAGTCCGCGAACAGGTCACTAAATATATTTTTATTGAATTACAAAAGAAAATAATTCTTCTTGCTGCGAACAAAAGATTACACTGGGGTTCTTAGACAAGAAAGACTTCATTGGTCGAGAGAATGGCGTCACTTTCCCAAAGTGATTGTTTGCCTTCAACGCTAGAGGAAGTCATTTATCTTCAAAAGAAAACATATTTTGTCGCAAGGAAAACTGCAAAAGCACGTCCCGCAATAAGGGAAGAGCTTTTACCTCGCGGTCATTGCTAAATTTGGAGCGATTTCAGTCAATTTCCTCGTTATAAATTACAATTAGACTGTTAAATTAAACGACAATTAAACTCGATGCAGCGAGTCCGATAGACATTTGCAAACTTACTTCCTTCATTTCAAAGTTAATTTTAAAATATTATCAGAGAAACGCCCATCTCAGGCACTCAATTAAGAAAGATCCAGAAGCTCCCATTAAAGGTGGCTGATCTTTTGAACAATTAACGCCTTATTGGGTGAAATAAGAGCTTTTATCGCTACGAAGCAGCCGTGATGGTTGCCTGTCAGGTCAGGCATGGTCATGGGTTTCCGCTGTGTGCTAAAACTGATGATGTCTCTGCTTTTTTGTTTAGCAGATCAAAATTCGAGATGGGTTAATCAGTTTAAGCTTATTACTTTTCACCCACACTTTGCAACCCTGCTGTATTCTTGTTGATCTTGTTTGAATCGAGAAATCTGTATGTTTTTGAAAACATCTCCATTTTTTAAACCTATAGAACAAAACCCCTAACACGGGACAAAACAAGGGCTCTGATTATGAAAACTTCACTGTGTTGGCTACACAAACAACTCACACTTATGAAGTATATTGCTCGAGTTTTGGTGGCGTATAATAAACATCTTATTGCTTTAACGAACGATTTCAAAACTTCGGTGACACATTCACGACATAGAAATGGAAAGCCACGAAACT